GTGGCCGGGAGCGGCCACTTCACTCCAGTCTGGGCAACAGAGTGAGACTCCAACTCAAAACAAAAAAAAACAAAAAAAACAACGTGGAGCCCAGAAAAAGCCGTAATCATTAATAAAAGCTTGAAGTGACAACTAGAAAACTCCCAATGTTTCTGCTAATTTCCCACCACCTCCCACGTTCAATTACAGGGCTACAATAACTTCCTTAAAAGTCTGTTGGTCAGCCTGTAATCCCACGCCTTGGGAGGCTGAGGTGAGTGGATTGCCTTGAGCCCACGGGTTCAATACCCGCCTGGGCAACTTGGCGAGACCTCATCTCTACAATAAATCAAAAATCAGCCAGACGTGGTAGTGCGCGCCTGTAGTTCCAGCTACTTGGAAGGCTGAGGCGGCAGGATCCCCGGAGTCCAGCAGGTCGAGGCTGCAGTGGCTGCGAGCAGCCACTGCACTCCAGTCTGGGCGACAGAGTGAGACTCCGACTCAAAAAAAAAAAAGTCTGTTGGTAAGATTTCCTGGGACTAAGCTAACATGTAACAATTATGAACATGGAAGGCAAACAGCTTATACAAAAAATAGACTATATCTAGTGGCATCAAAGCTAGAGTTACTGTAAGACAGTGTATGAACCATGCTACTTTGTTGTACAAAAGAAGAAAAGATGTACATGTTTGTTTGGACATGCACAGACTAGAACTGGAATGATAAATTAAAAACTGGGTAACATTTGTTGCCTACAGGGAAGGAAACTAAAGGCAGAAAAGCAAAAGCTGGAAGACTTCTCAGTATTCTCTTTTGTTCCCCTTGAATTTTATACCATGTGAATATATTGTTATCCTAAAACAAAACAAAATTATTATTATTTTTTTTTGAGTTGGAGTCTCACTCTGTCACCCAGGCTGGAGCGGCCACCACAGCCTCGACCCGCTGGGATCTGGTGATCCTTCCACCTCAGCCTTCCAAGTAGCCAGAATTACAGGCATGCACTACCATACCCGGCTGATTTTTTGATTTATTGTAGAGATGAGGTCTCGCCAAGTTGCCCAGGCAGGTCTCGAACCCGCGGGCTCAGGCAATCAACTCACCTCAGCCTCCCAAAGTGTGGGATAACAGGCTGAGCCACCGAGCCCAGCTGAAACAAAATTTTTTGAATCAAGGTTTACTCTGTCACCCAGGCTGGAGTGCAGTGGTATAATCATGGCTCACTGCAGCCTCAAACTCCTGGACTCAAGCAATCATCCCACTTTAGCCTCCTCAGAAGCTAAGACTACAGGCATGCACCAACATACCCAGCTAAAAAATTCTTAATTCTAAAAGCTTTAACTAAAAATCATATTAGCCAGTTATATATGTAAAGTACAAACAGTGTAAAGCTTTCATAGATTTAAATAGGGTGGTAGCTTTTATTCTTAAGTGAGTCTATTTTAAAACTCCAAATGTAATTTGACTCTATCAGGAAGCACTATTTGATTTCTTTTTTGTTTTAATATACTCACTAAAAAAATATTTAAGCCGGGCTCGGTGGCTCAGCCTGTAATCCCATGCCTTTGGGAGGCTGAGGTGAGTGGACTGCCTGAGCCTACGGGTTCCAGACCTGCCTGGGCAGCGAGACCTCATCTCTACAATAAATCAAAAAATCAGCTGGGCGTGGTAGCACATACCTGTATTTCCAGCTACTTGGAAGGCTGAGGCGGAAGGATCGCCGGAGCCCAGCAGGTCAAGGCTGTGGTGGCCGGGAGCGGCCACTGCAGTCCAGTCCAGGCAATAGAGTGAGACTCCAACTCAAAAAAAATAAAAATAAAAAAAATAATAAATAAATAAAAAGATGAGATGCTTACTCTCTTGTCTGGACTGAAGTCAATGGTTTTTCAGTTCTCTTTTCTTGTTCCAACGAAGACCTATCCAACAAATAACAGAACACCTTTTAATAAATTATTAATGTACATCTTGTCAATTCTATCTGTAGATAGAAAGAAATTATTCTAACTTCTATTTCGTTAACATACCATAGCATTTCACTAATGATGATGCATTACAACAAACAATTTTTCAGTTAGAAACCTGTTATGTATAAATAATTTGTTAGGCCCTAAGTAGAGAATGCTCTTACCCTATAACTCCTCAGTGAAAGGAGGCTCCCAGTCTCGAAGCATGAAGCGACCTAGGTGGCTTTTCTCCAACTCAAATGTCAAACTCAAAACCTAGGATTTTGGCCTGCCCTTCAATGGGGCCAAAGACCTGATGAACCTGAAAAAGGCCTATGCTGAAGTATATGACACTACTTCTAAATCCACCAACTAAACCATCAACAACACAAAATACTGATTTGCATGAGTTAGATAAGTTGAGATGGAACTCATAAAATCCAATTCCCAGGCCTGCAAAGCTAAAGACAAGAAGAGGGACTTTCCAAGGTGGTAATAACTTTCTTGGTCACCCTAATCCCATTACCTGGAACACTGCTTAACATTTAGTTGAATGCTCAATGGGTATTACCATCATTACTACCAAAAAAATCCTATTTATCTGTTGATTTATTTTTATAGCCAAGGGAATTTTTTTTTTTTTTTAGTTGGAATCTCACTCTGCTGCCCAAGCTGGAGTGCAGTGGCACGCTCACGGCCACGGCAGCCTCTACCTGCTGGGTTCAGGTGATCCTTTTGCCTCAGCCTTCCAAGTAGCTGGAACTACACACACACGCCACCAGATCTAATTTTGTGATTTATTGTAGAGACGAGGTCTCACCAAATTGTCCAGGCTGATCTCAAATCTGTGGGCTCAGGCAATCCTCTCACCTAGGCCTCCCAAAGTGCTAGGGATTATAGGCGTGTGCCACTGCGCCTGGCCCAGTCAAGGGAATTTTAAACAGAATTGTCTACACATGTTTAAACTATGTGTCTGTATATTCCTGCAAAGCAGCATGTCCCTTGAAGGCAGAGGACTGACCATGCGATGTCCTGCACATAAAAGTGCTCCATGACTATTTGCTGTTGATGAATAGACTATCGGTACTCAAAGCTGCTAACTTGTGAAAGAGGAGACTTTCACGAGTTTTTTAATAAACTTTCTGCCTCTCAACACCCCAGACGAACTTTGATAAAGAAACTTTGTTCTTGGAGGATTTTTTAATCAAATAGCCACAGTATTCATTAAGACTTAGGGCTGGCCGGGCTCAGTGGCTCAGCCTGTAATCCCGTGCCTTGGGAGGCCGAGGTGAGTGGACTGCCTGAGCCCATGGGTTCAAGACCCGCCTGGGCAACTTGGCGAGACCTCATCTCTACAATAAATCAAAAAAAATTAACCAGGCTTGATAGCGTGCACCTGTAGTTCCAGCTACTTGGAAGGCTGAGGCGGAAGGATTGTCGGAGCCCAGCGGGTCGAGGCTGCGGTGACCAGGAGCGGCCACTGCATTCCAGTCTGGGCGACAGAGTGAGACTTCAACTCAAAAAAAAAAGACTTAGGGCTTCTCGATAGTTCACGCCTATAGTTCCAGCACTTCAGGAGGCAGAGACAAGAGGATTTCCCAAGCCCATGGGTTCAAAACCAACCTGGGCAATGTGGCGAGACCTTGTCTCCACAATAAATAAAAAAAATTAACTGGACAGGATGGTGCATGCCTGTAGTTCCAGCCATTTGGAAGGCTGAGGCAGAAGGATCGCATAAGTTCAGGTTGAGGCTGCGGTGGCCACAAGTGCACCATTGTACTCCAACCCGGGCAACAGAGTAAGACTCTGACTCAAAAAAAAAAAAAAAGACTTAGGGACTAAAAATCAGATCACTTCTTTAGATCAGTTTTATATCTTAATTACGTAAAAGATGCTTAGTTGGTTTTACAACCTCTTGGTAATTAACATAACAAAGGAAATTTGTTTTTAAAATCAGAGATAAAGGGCATCATTTACCATCCCCAGAAAGCAGTTACCTAAAAAACTACTAATTTTTGTTATAAAACTCTATCTAAAAAAACATCAAATATGTTACAAATTTTGTCAACATGCCTTTGGAAATCATTAAACTGTACTCTAAAACTGATATCCAAATCACTACAAGCCGGGAGTAGTGGCTCATGCCTGTAATCCCAGTACTTTGGGAGGCTGAGGTGAGAGGATAGCCTGAGTCCAGGGAATCGAGATCAGCCTGGGCAAAATGGCGAGACCTCGTCTCTACAATAAATAAAAAAATTAGGAGGGCATGGTGGTGCATTCCTGTGGTTCCAGCTACTTGGAAGACTGAGCCCAGCAGGTTGAGGCTGCAGTGGCCGTGAGCATGTCACTGTACTCCAGCCTGGGTAACAGAATAAGAATTCAACAAAAAACTAAAAACTAAAAATAAATAAATTGTTACATGCCCAAAGAAAGTAAAACAAATAAATTTTACTTACGTCATTGGATTGTTATCTGGGAGGTAATATATGAAGTCTCTCATTGTCATTTTTGAACGATCTGGTGGCCTCTGACTTTCATTTATAGCATATTTGTTTTTCCATTGTTTCTATATATACAAACACATACACAGATCCACTTTTATTTTATAAGTACGAAAGAATTTCATACATATTATATTCAAATACATAGGTCTACTGTTACCCTCATCGCGAGTGCTTTCATATTACCCCTACCCTAATTATACAATTTTATAAACTAAATATTTAAAATTGTAGCATACTATCCCTGTGTTTAGTTTTTACTTTATTTTATTTTTTGAGTCAGAGTCTCACTCTATCACCCAGGCTGGAGAGCAGTGGCATGCTCATGGCCATAGCAGCCTCGACCTGCTAAACTCAGGCGATCCTTTTGCCCCAGCCTTCCAAGTAGCTGGAACCACAGGCATGCGCCTCCATGCCAAGCTAATTTTTTTTATTTACTGTAGAGATGAGGTCTTGCCATGTTGCTCAGGCTGGTCTCAAACCCCGGAGCTCAGGCAATTCTCTCACCTCTGCCTCCCAAAGTACTGGGATTATAGGCATGAGCTACTATGCCCAGCTTTGTTTTTAGTTTTCAAAAATTAAAGTGGGGCCAGGCATGGTGGCTCATGTCTATAATATCAGCACTTTGGGAGGCTGAGGTGAGAGAATTGCCTGAGCCCACGGGTTCAAGACCAGCCAGGGCAACTTGGTGAGATCTCATCTCTACAATAAATCAAAAATTTAGCTGGGCATTGTGATGCACACTTGTAGTTACAGCTACTTGGAGGCTAAGGCAGAAGGATCGCCTGAGTCCAGCAGGTCAAGGCTGGGGTGGCCGTAAGCATGCCACTGCACTCCAGCCTGCGTGACAAGAGTGAGATTCTGACTCAAAAAAAAAAAAAAAAGACATAGAAAGGTTGATAAAAAGTAGAAAAGAATATATGAGGCCAGGTGCAATGGTTCATGCTGGTAATCTCAGTACTTTGGGAGGCCAAGGTGAGAGGACTGCCTGAGCCCACAGGTTTGAGACCAGCCTGGCAACTTGGTGAGACCTCATCTCTACAATAAATAAAAAATTAGCTGGGTGTTGTGGTGCATGCCTGTAGTTCCAGCTACTTGGAAGGCTGAGGCAGAAGGATCACCTGAGCCCAGTAGGTTGAGTTACATGGCCGTGAGTGTGCCACTGCACTCCAGCCTGGGTGAGAGTGAGACTCCAACTCAAAAAAATAAAAAAATAGAGAATATATGAGGGGGACCCACCCCAAAAAAATAAATAAGTAAATAAAAATTAAAGTGAGGGAACAGTGGCTCATACCTGTAATCCCATTACTTTGGGAGGCTGAGGCAAGATGATTGCTTAAGCCCAGTAGTTCCAGTTCGAGACCAGCCTAGACAACATAGTGAAACCTGGTCTCTAGATCAAAAAAATAAAAATAAAAATAAAAAATTAACTAGGTGTGGTGACTGGCATGCTCACGGCCACCGCAGCCTCAACCCGCTGGGCTCAATTAATCCTTCCAAGTACCTGAAACTACAGGCATGTGCCAACACGCTAATTTTTTGATTTACTGTAGAGATAGGGTCTTGCCAAGTTGCCCAGGCTGTCTCGAACCCGTGGGCTCAGCCAATTCTCTCGCCTGGGCCTCCCAAAGTGATGGGTTGGCCTAGGCTTAGATTTTAAAGGATATATATTCAAATTCCCTATTCTACACTTGTGTTTGACACAAAGCAAAAAATCAGAGTTTCCCTCCATGTGAAACAGTGACATCTATCTCACACAGCTGAGAGAATTAAATGCAATAAGATAGAAAGCACAAAGCAAAATGTTTTCCTCTTACTTTAAAAAAAAAAAAGGCATTCCATAATTCATAACATGAGCTGACACAGGTTGGACATTTACTATTCGCAAGACACTACTTTAAATGTGTTTTACATGTATTAATTTAATTTTCACAATTTTCTGAAATGTATGCAAACTAAAGTGTTTCACATTTTGGATTTTGGAATATTTGCAGAATACAGACTAGCTGAGCATCCCTAATCTGAAAATCCGAAATCCAAAATGTTCCAATGGGCATTTCCTTTGAGTGTCATGTTGGTGCTCAGAAATTTCAGATTTTAGGCCAGGCACAGTGGCTCAAGCCTGCAATCCTAGCACTTTGGGAGGCCGAGGCGAGAGGATTACCTGAGCTCAGGAGTTCAGATTAGCCTGGGCAAATAGGTGACACCTCATCTTTACAATAAATCAAAAAATTAGCCAGACGTGGTAGCACGCACCTGTAGTTCCAGCTACTTGGAAGGCTGAGGCGGAAAGATCACCTGAGCCCAACAGGTCGAAGCTGTGGTGGCAGGGAGCATGCCACTGCATTCCAGCCTAGGCAACAGAGTGAGACTTTAACTCAAAAATAAAGTTTATTTTATAAATATGCTTGTGTGTGTACCTATGTGAATGTATATAAAAATTTTATTTGTGGTCTTCACTAAAAACAATAAAAAATATAAATGACTAAAATATGTAAAGATTACCATCAGTAGAAAAGTTTATTAAGTCCATGGTGCTTCTCAATCATTGTTAACAAAAGGGTATATTCTATGAACATGAGCGATATTATGTGGTTTTGTTCCCCCATCAAAATGCTACAGACGTTTATTTTTCTTCCAAATGATGCCTTACTAACATAAAAACATTACTTACAGAACATAAGAGCAGAAATCTAGCAGTCAACATCAAAATTCTGATTTTTTTCCCCTTACCTTTTCTTTTCTCAACTCTTCTCTCAACATTTCCCTCAGTTTCTGGGCTTTATATATTCGGTATCTGTCTGAGCATGGCTGTTTCTCTCTTCCTGGAATAGAGTTTGGCTGTAGTGCTTCCTGATTAACTGAAGATGAGGGATGAGGTTCTGAAGGAACACTCACTCTAGGTTTAACCAGACTAGAAGTACTTGATATTCGTTTTCTCCTCTGTGATACAGTAGAGGAAGATTTACTGGATTCTTCAACATCATTCTCATGACCAGTCTTTTCATCACTGTTGAAATTTAAAAAAGAAGGAAAAGGGCACCATGAATCTTCATTCCCATATGCTAGTTTCAAAACTTAGTCTGGTGAAAATCTAAAACAAGCCAGGCTTGGTGGCTCAGCTTGTAATCCCAGCACTTTGGGAGGCTGAGGTGAGTGGATTGCCTGAGCCCGTGGGTTTGAGACCCGCCTGGGCAACTTGGCGAGACCTCATCTCTACAATAAATCAAAAATTAGCTGGGCGTGGTAGCGCACGCTTGTAGTTCCAGCTACTTGGAAGGCTGAGGCGGAAGGATCGCCGGAGCCCAGCAGGTTGAAGCTGTGGTGGCCAGAAGCAGCCACTGCACTCCAGTCTGGGTAACCGAGTGAAACTCCAACTCAAAAAAAAAGAAAAGAAAATCTAAAACAGTAAAGTCTCATTATTTTAAAAAATCAATTACTAGAGAATTATGCTAATGATGACAGAGGTTGTTCATTAGTAAATCATTTTAAAATATGTAAATTCAAGTCCTTAAGCACATTAGAGTACATAATTATAGGCTTGGCTCCCTCAAAAAAAGTGAACAAAAAAAACAACCAAATTAAAGAACAAAGCTTGATTAGCCTAATTTGAATTACTAGATAACTCAGTTTTCTAAATTAATTTACAATTAATTTTACTAATTTACATATAAAACTAAAAATTTATCATTCACTCTGATATCTTAAACTGCTCTTAAACTACTGGCAGTTTACTTATCAACCTGAAATCAATCAAATTAAATATGCAGGCTGGGTTCAGCAGCTCACACCTGTAATCTCAGAACTTTGAGAGGCTGAGGCAGTAGGACTGCTTGAGCCCAGGAGTTCAAGACCAGCCTAGGCTAAATGGTGAGACCTCATCTCTACAAAAAATAAAAAATTAGCCAGGCATGGTGGTGGACACCTGTAGTCCGAGCTACTCAGGAAACTGAGTCATAAGGTCAAGGTTGCAGAGAGCTGTGATCGTGCCACTGCACTCCACCCCGGGTGACAGAGACCCCGACACTCGCTCACACACAAAATACAGAATATGCAAAACCTCAAACCTTTGAAATATTGTAGTATTGATGATATATTTTTAGTTACATTAGTCAAACCAAATTGAGACAGAAGTCATTTATATTTTGTCTGGCACAACTCACACAGTCATTAGAATAAATTATTTGGTCAAAAAAAACACTCAGTCACCCCCAAATTACACACCAAATATGATACAGCTTAGATATAAAAATTTCAAGAATGGCCTAAAAGTAAATTAAGAGCCAGATGCAGAGGCTCAAGCCTGTAATCCCAGCACTTTGGGAGGTCAAGGTGAGAGGATTGCCTGAGCTCAGGGATTCGAGACCAGCCTGGGCTACTTGGAGACACTTCGTCTCTACAATAAATCAAAAAATAAGCTGGGTGTGGTAGCACACGCCTGTAGTTCCAACTACTTGGAAGGCCAAGGCAGAAGGATCACCTGAGCCCAGCAGGTTGAGGCTGCAGTGGCCGTGAGCATGCCACTGCACTCCAGCCTAGGCAACAGAGTAAGAGACCAACTCAATTTAAAAAAGCAAATTAAGTCCAGAAAAGAGGTGGTTTAGGTAAGGAATTAAAAACTTTGCTGGCCGTTTTAACGCACGCCTGCAATCCCAGCAATTTGGGAGGCGAGAAGATTGCCTTAGTCCTGGGGTTCAACTTGGGAAGACCTCATCTCTACAATAAATCAAAAAATTAGCTGGGCACGGTGGCATCTGCCTGTAGTTCCAGCTACTTGGAAGGCTGAGGTGGAAGGATCGCCTGACCCAGCAGATCAGGCTTGCAGTGGCTGTGAGCATGCCACTGCACTCCAGTCTGGGTGGCAGACTGAGACTCTGACACAAAACAAACAAATAAAGTTATACTTTTAAAATATCTTACAATTAGCTTTATATAAAAATGCTCTAGGTGGCTGGGCTCGGTGGCTCAGCCTGTAATCCCAGTGCTTTGGGAGGCCGAGGTGAGTGGATTGCCTGAGTCTGAGGGTTCGAGACTTGCCCAGGCAACTTGGTGAGACCTCATCTCTACAATAAATAAAAAATTACCCAGGTGTGGTAGCGCACGCCTATAGTTCCAGCTACTTGGAAGGCTGAGATGGAAGGATCGCCAGAGCCCAGTAGGTCGAGGCTGCGGTGGCCGGGAGTGTTCCACTGCACCCCAGTCTGGGCGACAGAGCGAGACTCCAACTCAAAAAAAAAAAAAAAAATGCTCTAGGCTATAGAATAACCTTCCCAGGAAGTCTCCAATTTAAATTCGTATCTTTGCCCTTATAACAAAGTGATACATGCATTACCTGCATTTTACTCTACTAAGTTGAATGTATAAGGAGAAAACATAAACCTGTAGACTTTTTACAATATCTAGCAAAGACCCACAAAATAAAAGAGTGAAAACACATGTTTAGAAAACAAGGTATACTCTAAATATCAACTCTAAGAAAACAAACATCCTTGAGCTTAAAGGACTCAAGACTGTAGCCGCTGGGCAATTTATTATCGACCATTCACACTCACACATAGTTTACAAAATCTTTGAGAACTTATTAACTTAATAGCAACTGGTATTGGTATCTCTATTTGTGTAAAAATCCTAAAAGAGACTCCTAGAAGAAACCTGGAAAGTACTAAGCATCATTGAGCTATCAAAATAAGCTCCTATACCAGTTCAGGCCAACAGAGAAAGATGTGCCAAAAAGAAGGAAACTGTTCACCTTTTTGTCACAGCATAAACAGACCTGTACTATCTCACTTAACAAGGCTGGTTGTAGGGCCACGTGCAGTGGCTCCTGTCTATAATCCTAGCACTTTAGGAAGCCGAGGTGAGAGGACTGCCTGAATCCACAGGCTCGAGACCAGCCTGGGCAACTTGATGAGACCTCATCTCTACAACAAAAAAAAATTTTTTTTTAATTGGCCAGGCATGGTGGTGCGTGCCTGTAGTTCCAGCTACTTGAAAAGCTGAGGCAGAAGGCTCGCCTAAGCCCAGCAGGTGGAGGCTGCAGTGGCCAGTTGCGTGCCACTGCCCTCCAGTCTGGGTGACAAAGTGAGATTCCAACTCAAAAAAAAAAAAAAAGGCTGGTTGTTTTCTGATTTCCTCATATATAAACAGAGACCATTTTAATCCAATGTGTCTTAAGTGTAATTACTCCACTGTTTGTTTTTTCTTTTTGAATTTGGAGACAAGATTTCACTATGTGCAATACAGACACTTTTTTTTAAAAGACAAGGTGTCACTGTGCGGTGACACCAATCACTTCTCACTGCTCCCTCCAACTCCAGGACACGAGCAATCCTCCCACATCAACCTCCCAAAGTGTTGGGATTACAGGCCTGAGCACAACACCCAGCCCATCATCTTTTGAAAAACTAGTCACTTTTTGTCGGCAACTATTCTGCCATGTCCTGTGCAAGATAGTCTGTGTGAGTTATTTTGAATCTCCACAATAACGCTCCAAGTAAGTAATAACATCCTCATTTTACAGTTGAATAAATTTTTCTGGGAAAACTCGAAGTCAATTTGTTAAATGACGTAAACGAGTCCTGAATCCAAATGTGGTACATGACGCTAAAACCACGCTGCTTCTCTGTTTGGGAAACAAGGTCACCGCGCCATAGTTAAAGCAGCACAACCTCGATCAAGTAAGCAGAACTCCTTCCCCTTGACATAAATCAGCAGAATCAAAGCAATACACTGTACTGACCCCCTCCTTTGGGAAATAAATACTTTGAAAATCCAAAACTAGACTACTCTCCCTGCAAAGCACTTCAGAAGAATGAAACCTATGGCCATCTAGATAGTCAAATGAATAGCGCGGATATTCTTCACTTAAGGATTGCTATACCTGGAGTTCCCCCCCCCACCCCTTGAAGACACGATCCCCTCTGGGAATCCACAGACGGGGGCAAAATCTACACAGGCCACACCCTGCGGTGAGAGGGACAAACTGCAATGTGGAGTGGTTTCATCGAGCCTCAGCTGAAAGGCTATTTGCAAGCGACAGAGTACGCCCGTGGCTAAGTTCAACTACTCAGCTTCCAGGTGACAGGCCCGGAGAGGCGGGACAAATGAACTCACCTCCCCCCCCC